CTGAAAAATCAACAGTGTATCAAATACTTGTTCTCCCCACTGTATGTAACAATGTATTTGAAACATTTTACTGGCAACATAAACAGACACAATAGCAGTCTGCTCTGAGCGAGTCATTATATTCATCAGTTTTATTGGGACTGTGCAATCCCAGTGGAGGCGGAGCTTGCTGTTGCCAACCAGTCCAGGAAATAAGGACATTCAGCAATTAAAAAAATATTCAAACTGTTTAGCTTAAATAGAAAACTGATTTACATTACAAAGCACTGGAGAAATAAAACCATTTTAATGTGATTTGTTGTCTTTTTTTCCTGTTTCTTTCCATGACGACAYGTGAGGCCCTGCCGCACGTCACTGATTACAACAGATTTTTATTTTGGTTCATGGCCTCCTCGTGTTTTGACTTGGCGTTTTGTTGCAGACGTTCAGAGATGGCCAACGTTCAGATCAGGCGGTACAGAGACGAGGATGCAGAGAGCGTGCAGGAGATCTTCATCTCGGGGATGAGCGAGCACCTGCACGCAGCCTTCCTGCACCTCCTGAAGCAGCCGCTCACCCATCTGGTGTTCCTGTGCACGTTCTGCGCTCTCCTGACCAGCTTCGTGTCCTTCCTGATCCCCGTCCTGGCGGTCGCCCTCCTCCTGTTGGGAGCCAGGTACATGGTCAGGTGCCTGTTCGACAGGTACATCGACACCTGCGTCAGGAAGGATCTCYAAAACATCAGCAAGACCTACCTGATGCAAACCGACTCATGTTTCTGGGTGGCTGAGAGCGACGGACGGGTGGTTGGGACGGTGGCTTGTGTTCCCGCTGAAAACGAACCCGGGTGCCTGCYGCTGAAACGCATGTCGGTGTGCCAAAGTCACCGCAGACTGGGCATCGCTAAGGAGTTGTGTCGGACGGTGGCAGCTTTTACTCGTGACAGGGGTTACGCTGCTGTCATCCTTCACACCTCTATGGTGCAGATGGAGGCTCAGAAACTGTACGAGAAGATGGGCTACAGGAGGATCAACGAGTCCCCTGCACCTGAGTTAGCCGGGAAATTATTCAACTTCATCCTGATTGTCTACAGACTTGATTTAGAGAAAAATTAGACATCATCCTAACAAGCAGTTTCACTTTCCTTTAAAGGGATCCATGATTAGTTGTAACATTAGACTTTATATGATAAACATATATTTTAATTGTAAAATAAATACTGTAAAAATACTGTAGGATGTTCAGTTTTTATCATTTTTAAACTAAAAGTTAAAAAATATGTTACACAGACGGGGCCAGTTTATTTACACACAAAGATAGGCCCTCGGTGCGAGGCTGCTAACGAGCTACATCCGCCCTGAAGGTTAATCTTGGACAATATCTGATGATTGACTCTTTTAAATGAAACCAGAGAGTGTTGACAGAGAGGAGAAGGTAGAAATGACTCAGCCTGTTACTGAAAATATGGATGGACAACAGAGCTGCTTCATGGAAGAAGAACCTCAGCTTAGCCTGTTAGCTTTAGCGTTAGCCCCGATGCTATCACCATAT